AATTAATTCTAAAATGAATTTAGTTAGAATTCTGAGATTAATTTAAAGGGAGATCTCTGACTTTTTTCTTAAATTTTAAAGTCAGAATTATGAGATTAAAGTGGGAATTTTCGCAGATTTAAATCTCAGAATTCTGAGAAAAAAAGTCAAAATTCTGACTTTTTTCTCAGAATTCTGAGATTTAAGTTAGAATTCTCTTTTCAGTGACCCTAATCCTTTTTCGCGTATCTTTCGTGGTTGGTTCAAATTTACAATACTGACCATAAATAACATAAAATAAAAAGAATCCATGTAAAAGACTCAGACCGTTACATGACGAAGGCAACAGAGGAGATTTGATTAAAACGAAGGATCCATGAGACATCCCGACCTTTAGCGCTGATGGTGCGCAGGTCGGTGATCTTCATCAGGGCCTTGGGGAACATCAGGGGCATGCTGGGTCGCCGTTTACGCGAGTAGATCTTCAGCGCCTCCAGCAGCGGCTCCTGCAGCACCTCCACCTTCGACGGCTCCTCCAGGTCCTGCCGGTCTGCGTGGCCAACAGACATTTCAGGAGTTTAGCTTCAGGCTAAGGTCTAAAACCAGATCGGAAACACGGACCCCAGTACCTCCGGAGACGAGGCAGATGGCGCTGAGGAGCCCGCTCTCCGTCTCGTCCATCTCCAAAGGCAGCAGCTGCCCGGCGAACATGAAGACCTGGTCCGTCAGGGGTCCGAAGCCCGCGTTGTGGATCTGAGTGCGGGTCAGCGTCAGGCCGTCTGAGAAGGTCATGGTGTCCTGGTCTGGAGTGTAGCGAGTGCAAATCCTCAAGATCTGGAGGAAGAGGAACAAAAAAACTAAAATATTTAACAACCCACATTAGGTGTGGCTGTTGGTCTGTTAGCAAAATATCTCATGAACCAGTGGTTGGATTTATTGAAACTAAGAATATAATCATCACATTTGAATCTAGAGCGGATTCAAGATGGCTGCCACCGCTAATCAACCTCAGCTAATGAAATGAAAAGCTGTAACTCGGTCATTTTGACAGATTATGAGCTAAAATTCAACATGGCAGTAGCTGAAAGTCATCCTCAAAACATACTCTGAGCACTTACAGTGTGGTGGTGGTGGGCGATATACAGTCAACTATAATAAAAACACAAAATAAAACCTTTTCAACCACAAAAACAAACAAAAGTATGAATAAGCAGGGGCGGAGCTAGACTGTTTTGCACAGGGGTGGCCAGTGTTTTCTTTAAGGGGGGCACATACAAATAAAGTAAATGACTCCATTTAAAACTTCAAGATGGCCGCCACAGCTAATTTCAAATGGCTCTAAATCAGCTGCTTTAAGAAATATTGAGCTGAATTTTAGTATAATTGTTGATAAGAATTGTCAAAAAAATATTCCGATTGCTAGTCCTAATTTAAGCTAACTGCTAATGCTAGACATTTTTAGACAAAAAAGCTAAAAATTAGATTATTACTAGCCAAAAACAATCTTTACCAAATTTTAAATGATTATAAAAAATTATAAATGGCCACCACAGTTAACTTTAAAAGGCTATATTTGACCTAAAATTTGTTTTGTGTGACTGATCCCAACTAAGTTAACTGCTAATGCTATTGCTAACTTTACAAAGGGCTATACTTTAATTCTGCCATTTTTAGATCTAAAAAATGATAAAAATCAGTTTAGCACTAGCCAACAATGCCAAATTCTAAATGATCAAAATTTCAAGATGGCCACCACAGTTAACTTTAAATGACTTTATATTCAGCTTTTTTAAGACTTACAGATGTGAAATTTGTTGTGGTGTAGCTGATGCCAAACACATGCCAATTGCTAATCCCAACTAAGCTAACCGCTAATGCTATTGCTAATTTTACAAAGGGCTATAATTCAGCCATTTCTAACATACACAGCTGAAAATGAGTGTAGTAGTAGTCGATAAACATCTTTAACGTTATCTAAATTCTAAAACACAGTCCAACATGGCCACCAAAGCTAATTTAAAAGGGATATATTTCAGTTACTTTTGAACAGAAGAAATTAGGCGTGGTGGGAGCTGCGAGTTTAGAGTGACGGCCACGTGACAGTAGTTTCTTAGGGAACTTTTCTGGTTGCTCCATGTCATCGCTGTCTTAGAGATGTGCCACTGGAGGTCGCCTGTTTTTATTAACTGATTCTTAAACCGCAGAACTTTTACAGACAATAGTTGTTTGATATTAATTTAGTGATTTAGAAAAGTTATTATTTGTTCCACACACTGATAGGGTCCCTCTACACCAGACTTTGAAATATTACATGCAATTGCCACCCACTTTTCTATCAATTGGGGGTGGCACCTGGGGTGGCCATCAGGTGCCACCCCGGGGCCACCCCTCTGGCTCCGCCCCTGTGTGTAGGTGCTACCCCGGGGCCACCCCTCTGGCTCCGCCCCTGTGTATAAGGAGAAGACTTCATACATCCTCCCTCTCAGTCCTTTGATTATTGTTAAATAAATATCAACATTTCCCCCGAAATGTAGACAGTTATCGTGTTTGTGATGCAGTATGACGTAATGTGGACGGTTTGTGAGTAAATAAACAGAGAATTTGGCAAAAAGACGATCCAGAACATTTCATCAGAAGAGTGGGGAGTAAAGATGAAATATAACAGAGCTTTTCTTTGTGGATTGACTCCCCGTGGAGACCAGAGTCATTTAGGTAAACAGTCAGACAGATGGTGAGGGCGACACGCGGACCTGACGCTGAAGGTCGGCCAAGACTAAAACACCTCCTCTCTCTGAAGGTTCCCCATCAGACCTGAGAGCCCCGTGTTGTTTTGTTTTTAGGTCTAAATAAAAGCAGATTTTCAGGCCGCGGACTCACCAGGATGTCGAGGCAGGCGGCTTTGAGCAGGGTGATCTGGTCTGCGATGGTCAGGCCGGTGAAGCCCGGCACCCGCTTGGCGAACTCCACCACCTTGATGATGCACTTGGTGGCGAGCTCGCTGAACTTGTCCCACAGGCCCAGGTCCAGCTGGATCCTGTGGTCTGAACTGGAGTTCTGAGGTGGAGGAGATGACAGGATGGGGATCATGTATTTACATTCTTCTTTTAAATAATACACAAGATAATTTTTTGTTTCTTGTTTTTTTTGGCGCCAGGCGATGTCGAATTGACTATTTTTTATTATATTTTTTATTTTTGTCATAAAAAGCTCCTAAACTCAAGAAATGAACCATTTTTGTGGCAACACGTTGGGTAACGAACAACTTTAAATTAAATCTTTAGGTTTTTTGTTACCAAAACAGGATTTTAGCTGCAATCTGTGATTGATTAGCTGAACGATGATGCACCTCTGCAGGTCTTTATATTTTAAAGGCATGATGCCCCCTGCTGTAGAAAGTTGTTTTTAAGCCCAAAATATTTTATTTATTCTTCTACTTGTTCAACTTAACACATTTTTATAGGAAAACAATTCACAAAATACAAAAATCTGCCTGATTTTAAGGTTGCGCCTCTTTAAAATGTGAATTATTGTGAAAGAAATAATAATTCATGCCTGATAAATTGTTACTTCTTGCAATATTTGGAGATTTAGCTAAAAAAATGGAACAAACAATGTCTTTGTGAGATTTTGAAAGCAGCTAAAATAAGAAAGTTTGAAAGATTACGATAAAAGAACCGAACGAGCTCGCTCAACTTAAACTTGCATGATTATGGTGAACAATCTTTAAATATTTTGCTCCTGAAATGAGGCTAAAGTAAGATTTAAAGTATTTTATTTATTGAGCGGTTCATGAAGAAACACTGGGATAATTCTGATCAAGATATTTTTAAATTAATATTGTTTTGTTCAAACTCTGTCCACCCACAAACTAAAATAGCTTCAGGAATGTTTTTAAGACTCAACAAGAACATTTCCTCATAAAGACTAATGGTAGCTGCAGCTGCAGCCGCAGAGATATTTGAGTTATTCTTCCTGTCAGCGAAGGGAGCGTCTCATTGTTCCACTTCTCATAAAACATGTTCAGTGGTTTGTTTCCAACATTAAAACAAGCAGCAACTCAAATAAAAAACATTACTTCCTTGTAAGAAACGTGTGTGAAACAACTAATTCACGTGCCGCTGATGTTATCTCCTCGGGTTTGTTTTGATGCACAAAAAGAAAAAAAAAATCTTCTTTCTTTTTTCATCTTATTGATTAAAATAACATGATTAGAATTAAGATCAAACACTTAAACAGTAACTAAAAGTCAAGATTCAGCAATGCAGAAGCTGAAAAACAAAATAAACAAAACAGTAGCTTAAAGCTAAAACAAAGAAACCAGTAGCGGAAATTCAAAAGTAGCAAAACAATTGTCAAAAGCTAAATTATTAGGACAGATAAAGGTATTATAAATGTAGCTAAAAGCAAAAATCAACTTAACACTGAATAGAATTCACAAAATATCAGCTTAAACCAAAGAGCACAAACCAGTTGCTAAAATCTAACATCTACAAATGAAAAAGTAAAAAAAAAGTTAAAACGTTAATGTTTTTATGTATATTTAAGTTGTCAGACACAGAGTTCACTGGAATTATTTCTGATTTAATTTAATAATCTCATGTACTTTAATTGACTGATTCTTGTAAAGAATCAGTCCAGGAATAGTTTTTTAATAACACGTCTGGTTTTAGCCACGTCCGGGCACTAGCTCCGCCCACCGACGCTTCAAACCAGAAGTAGAGTAGGAATGTTCCAAAAGAACAATTGATTGAGAAGGATTAATAAAAGATAAATGATCTGAATGCAGAAACATAAAAGGTTTTCTGCCGGAGACAAACGTGATGTGTTACATAAACCACAAATCAGGTCTCGTGTTTTTCCTGTTATGATTTTAATTTCAAACCTTTGTTCTAAAACAAAAGACGCAACAAAAACAACAGCTGTAAAGTTACATAAGTCTCACTTTCAGGTTATTATTATTGTTATTTTGATGGAGGCGTTTACAGTAAAGCTGAAAATAAAAAGTCTGATCATTTTTAAGTTTAACCTGTTTTATTGTTGTCATATAATTAAAGCTGTGTTTCAGTTTTATAT